CTTGTATTTTGTATATAATAATACAGACTTTGTTTCATAATAAACAATTTGTCAAGTGTCATTTATTTACTGGTAATCGTGCATGTTTCAGTCGGGCAAATCTTGATTAATATTTGATACGCCGTTTTTTGCATATTTCAGACACATCCAGAAATATGCTCCCGATTTTAAACATTAATATCTCTGTGAATTTTTTAGTGAAATACAACTGTAATATATCAAAATCTAAGTTAGTCATTCCTCTATTTGATGCAAGTTATTTCTCATTAAAAGCTTTACTTGTTTAGAAGTTATTACGAATCAAACCGGAGTACTTTTTTTGGGACACCCGGTATATATATATATATATATATATATATATATATATATATATATATATATATATATATATATATATATATATATATATTTATAATATAGTCATCCACCATATATGAGCTGTTCTGCAATCTGATTGGTTGAATTACTCGCCGTATATCAGCTCATATACGGCGAGTAGCGAAAAACAAGATGGCGGTCCAAAAACTGCATGAGTTTTGCGAAGCAGAAAAAGATGAATATTCGCTTTGAGAAACACAGTAGTACAAGGAAAAACTCTCAAAAAAAATTTGACAGGTTAGCAAAATACATTTATTACGTAGAAATTAGTTTAAATACAAGTTTTTTAAAGAATTAATACCGAAACAACAGCGAAAAAACATGTTCATTGAGAATATATTAAATTGTTCAGAAAAGTTTGCAATGAACGACAAATGAATTTGCAGTCAACAAGCACTTACTATAGTACCAAACATCTGTATAATATATCTGAGGTTTCCTGTGAGATATAGAGATTCTAAAACCATTTCTTTCACTTCGTCTTCGAGTTGTATTAAAACAAAAGTATTTCAAATTTTCAAGCGGTTTTTGGCGGAAAAAATTGTCAACACATTGTAACAGTGAATAATTAATTACTGCTTCAGTTAATGGCAATATTAGACTATATTATAAAACAATTATACCATTCGCTCTCGTCGTATATGGCTGATAGCCGACTCGGTGCTACGCACCTCGTCGGCTATCAGCTCATATACGACTCGAGCTCATGGTATAATTGTTAAATATCTTATTGGATAATATTTAAGTCGAGACTAATATTTAAGTCGAGACTTAATATTTTGCCCTATTGGACGAAGATCAATCCTATAGAAGTTTTATTATATCGAACAAAACAATTCTAGAACAAAAATTATCAATAAGCGATAAAATAAATACAGCGAGACTAATACAGCGACAACATTACTACACTTATTATTAGCATGACAAAATTACTGGATGCTGATTGGTTGAGAGGAGTACAATTATTTCATTAATTGTTCTGCAGTACAATTAATGATTTTCCCAAAACAAACAAAATGGCGGAAAGGTATTTTAAACACAAACGTGAAATGAAATTGCCCTTGAGGAACTGGATGAAAAGACGAGCAAAAACACCAAATTTTGCTTTAACAAAAGAACAAAATGAAAATACGAACAAAATCACCAAATTTTGGTTCAAATATGGCAGGACTGGACATTGGCGAGAGAATGTGATGATGACATTGAGAAGTATCCAATTTTGTCATGCTAATAATAAACAAGTTAACATCCGATGTTGCTCGTACATTTAGGGATTAATAGTACTCGTGATGTCTCGAGATGTTTGGAAAATTGCCAAATTGGACTCGCCCCGGCAGCTCGTCCAATTTTGGCAAAATTTCAATTCCAAACATCACTCGTACTATTAATCCCTAATTGTACTCCCCATCGCATGATTACCTATACATATCGGCGGCGAATTTGCTTAAATAACTAAAAAAAGTTAATTAACCTGTTTTTACAAATATGTGTGCATAAATAAACTCAATTCCAAGGATGTTTAAAGGAAATTTGACCTAATTTTAACGAAAACAATAATATTACTAACTTCTAGGCTGTTGCAAACAAATACTTCTGAACACTTGAACTGGTTTCTGCTTGGGGATTGGAACGATGTTTGCGCATTTCCACGATTGAGGGAGACTCGCTTCTTGGTATGAGCTGTTGAGAATATCCGAAATTGGAGCACCTAACATGTCGGAATTCTTCTCCATCAACCAGGCCGGGATACCGTCAGGTCCTGTTGCTTATGTTTTAATGAGGTTGGCTAGCTTCTTGCTGACAGACATTTCAGATACGTGGTACGATCGTATATTTTCTATTGGTATATCATCACCAATTTCCGGAAGTGGAGCATCGAAATCTTTTGTAGTTTCTAAAAATGTTTTGTTGATCATATTGGCCAGGTCTTCCAATTCAGTTGGATTGTTTTTGGATCCACAATCCAAGTTCCGTAAAAGAGAGATTGGCTCTACTCGAACCTGTGACGAGATACCGCCCAGTTTTTTGGCTTCTTTCCACCACTCCGCCCGTGAACAGGTTCTTAAATATTCAACCTTCGATGAATAGAATTTTCCTCGGCACGGCTTGCGTTCTCTATTGACTTGGTTTCTTAAGGATTTAATCATTGTCTCATCACCACGAGCTAGAGCGGCTTGTCGGTGTCGGATCAATTTTTTAATCGTTGAGAGATCCAAGGGGCGTCATTGGAGAAATTCAACTTGGATTTTAAGGGTAGTGATGTATCTTATCCATAGTTAATTCTTCATTCGAGCATTTCTACCTTTGCATTACATGAGTTTTGCGATTCGATTAGGCCCTTAATATCCACTTCTTCTAAGTATTTCCGCATTATCAGCCGTTTCGTGGGTCTCAAGTCCCGGGAGATCGTATAAAATTTCGGCTGTCGATTAGTTGGTCTCTTCAAAGGTTGAATTTCGACTGATAAATGGTCGGAGAGGCCAAAAGGTGGACGTTTAGTTGGTTCGTCATAAAGCTGTTTCATGTTGGTAAGTACCAGGTCAAGGGAACTAGAGCCACGAGTTGGAAATTTGACGATCTGGCATAGTTTGAAACTATTTTTCAGTCTGGAAAGGTTTAGTTTATTGAAGTCTCCAAGGATTATTATGCCACAATTGGTGAATTGTGCCTCATTTGTTGTTAAAGCCTCGTACAAGTAGTTAATTAAATCCTGATCGTTTCCTCTAGGGGGGTGGTAAAGATTGCATAGTATAATACATGATATACCTCTTGGGAGACGTAGAGGTTTTAGCTTTAGCCAAATGGCTTCGAAATCGTTGCTCACAAGCTCTGATAAAATATCGTAAGTATAGCATTTTTAACGTAGACACAGACGCCACCGTGTTCGCCTTGATATCTATCGCGTCGTACAATGTTGTAACCGGAGATTTCGACGACATTATCGTGTATATGATTTTGGAGCCATGACTCCGTTATACAGATGAGATCTACATCAATTTGTATAGACACCTCACGAAGTTCATCAACTTTAGGAGCGAGAGACATCACGTTGGACAACAAGATCGATGGAACAAACAGATTTTGAGACCTAGGTTTTTCTTGTGGTTTAGTTTGAATAGCTATGCAGTTTTTAGGATTACGGGTGGTAGCTTGAACGTGGGTCAGTTCTGACTGGTATAGTATTATCATTCGGTAACATTGGCGTACAGACCCGATCTAATAAAGAGCAGGTGGTCTCGTCGGGACTTCCATTAAAGAGGGAGGATATATACCTGGAATGGGCTGATGAAAAGTTGGAAGTCTCATAGTAAGTGGAAAAGTTTGGAGAGGGTGTAACATTTGTTTGTGAAAAAAAGGTTGAAAATTTTGCCACTGATGGTTTTGTATGCGTTGCCTTGGATAGGTACTTAAATGAAGGAAATCACGCTTAGCGCCTTTGAGACAATGGCCTTTCCTACGAAGAAAGGGACAAGGGATTAAGTGTTTAGAGGGTTATTTGATTCGCTGGCTTCATTGGTTTCAATAGTATTCTCTTTATTATTTAGCTCTTGCTCAGCAATTCGGTCTTAAGTTCCTCAATATTTGAACAGATGGCGTTACTTTTGCAGACACGACTTTGTGAAGTGTCCTGATCGGTCTCGCATGAGTTATCTGAGTAATTTACAACAACAACTTCATTAACAGAGTCGTTTACAGCGACACCCTCGGTAAAACTTGACACATCTTGAAGCAAAGAAGTTGTGCAATTTTTCCCGCCTCTACGCCTTCAAGGTGCAGTAGATTCTTGTTCTTTCTCCACGAGATTAAGATGTTGTTCGATTTAAATACCTTCCTGTCGCCGCCCGGCTGCTCCTAAACACCGTCTAGGTTTAGATCTTTACCTACAAAACACTTTAAGGATTCGTACTTCCCGTTCCAAGCGAAGCATAAGCTGTCAATTGTTGATACCATATTTATAATCTTATACAATAAACAGTAAAAAGCAATCATGAAAATTTCGAGCCGACGTATGATAGCGTTATGGTTGCCATGCCTGGTTTCAATGTGAATGGTTTTTTAAAAAATAAAATAAAACAAGAACTTCCTCAGGCATAAAAAGGTATAATGACTATAATCCAGACGTTTCGCCGGTTAAAGCTTCTTCAGTGGGTGAAAAATTTACAAAAATATTAAGGCGTTTTTTATACATATCGTCCTAATTGAAATTGTATATAATTAAGTATGGTGAGTGAATGAGTCTAATTGTTTGAAATTATAAGTCTAAAGAGTTAGTAGTAAAAAATGTAAAAAGTCTAAATCAGTCTAATTCTTTGAATTCTAAACGTATATACAGTTGGTAATAAAAATGTTAAAAATATTCATAATTATGATCCCTGCAGCCATTGTCTGCTGTGTTTATTGGCCATCTTTTTTGTTTACATTTCAAGAACAATATGGAGATCGATAAGTTACTTGTTGAAACTTTGTATATTTCTTTCGTAATAATGTTTTCAAATCAGTTTATGTATATGTACATGTATTAAGTTTTAAAACAAAATAAATTTGTTTCGTTACATTTCTTGTGCTATTGTCATTATGTCGTGATATTTTTTACAATATAGCTTTGAAATATTGCCAAAATCATGGCGGTTGGTGGCCTTCAAGCTGTCCGGGATGCTTTAATTTTTGCCTATGCTGAAAACCTAATAGACGACGAGGAATTTGCGTTGCTGTACGACCACAATCGATCGAAACCGCTTTTTCAGTACTGGAAATTTGATGAGTTCAACTTGGACACTTGGAGCGACGTTGAATGTGAAACTGAGCTACGGTGTGAGAAAAAAGATTTGGCGTCACTTAAGCAATCTTTACAAATCCCAGAGGAACTCGTTTGCCAGCAAGGGACGGTCTGTACTGGCATGGAAGGATTGTGCATTCTCCTGAAAAGCTTGGCATATCCTTGTCGGTACACAGACATGGCACATCGGTTTGGGCGAAGTCCGTCTGACTTATGTCTCATTTTCAACCTAGTGCTGGATATTGTTCATGAAACCCACTACCATCGCCTGGAGAGTTGGGATCAGCCTTTCCTCACCCCTGACCAGCTTTACACCTATGCCCAAGCAGTGCATGAACATGGTGCCTCTTTACAAAACTGCTTTGGGTTTGTGGATGGGACTGTAAGACCGATAGCCCGACCTAAATACCACCAGCGAATCATGTACAATGGCCATAAAAAGGTACATGCTATCAAATTCCAGAGCATTGTACTCCCAAATGGTATTATTGGTAATCTTTCTGGCCCATATGAAGAGAGACGTCATGATAGCACCTTGCTGCATGAGTCTGGTGTTTTGCCCAACCTAAGACGCATCGCCTTCTACAATAATGAGCCACTATGCCTTTATGGTGACCTAGCTTATCCTTTGGGAGTACACCTTCAAGGACCATTCATGGAACCACACCTAACTCCAGAAATGCAAGAGTATAACAGATCAATGAGCGATCTCAGAGTGGCTGTAGAGTGGATGTTTGGAAACATCACCAAATATTTTAGTTTTGTTGACTTTAAAAGGCAAATGAAAATTAATTTAAGTGCTATTGGGAAAACATATGTTATTTGTGCTTTGCTTGAGAATGCTCATACCTGCCTTTATGGTAACATTGTTTCAACTTATTTTGGACTTCCACCACCTTCTTTGCATGTATATTTCTGGTGAGTGGTGACATTTCTATTAATATAACTTTTAAATTTTTGACTAATTACTGTGTAAATACACGAAATTGCATCTTGTTCCAAGCCATGAGTATTTTACATCATCTTTTGATAATACATAGCTCAAATATTGTTTACAAACATGTATTTAATTTATTCAAAATTCCAATTCATTCAACACAATTATATACAATCAATAATTAATAATATTAATATTACAACTATATTGCATTATATTATTTTAAATTCATTCAACACAATTATAAACAGTACTTGGAAATTGCAAAACTGTGAATACTGTAAATCCTCTACAAAGGCCCTAAGGTCTACATATGATTTGGTTGAAACATATTTTACACAATAACCCATTTATGTAATTGAGTGGCAGCACGACTCCCCCTGACAAGTAAAATCGTCTGGCGTTAGACAGAATAAAAGAATAAAGTAGGGCGCATTGCCACTTAATTATATAAATTATAAACATACCAAGCTTTACCAAGCATACCAAGTCATATGTTTAAAATTGAGAAGATTTACAGTATATATTTTTCAATTCAACTTTTAAATAAATAACAGAATTCGACTTTTTAGATAAATAACATTTTTAAATAAATATTGGACAACTTTAACTGTCAAGGAGCTGTTTACATGAACCTGGCTAGTTGGGCTGGCACTGTTAACCAGGCTGAGACTGAATCTAGCATATATGGTGCAAAAAAACCTGTTCACATTTTCAATTTAACACCACTTAATCAGCATGAACACCTTAAATTAAGTTCAAATAACTAGTTATCCAAAAATACTAACTCAAATAATGTTGCATGCAAAGAGGTTATTTGCTAGCCGGTAGCAGGGGCTGGTGACTATACATGAAAAATATCAGCCGGGCAACCCGATTGTCTCAAGCAAGATCCCTGATAAACAACCAGGCTCTGTTATTAACCAGGCCAGCCAGGCTAAAGACGCTCATGTCAACAGTCCCTAAATGTCATTAAAATGCATTAAATTGTTCTAATCATTGGATTGGTTATTTTTAAAGAGATTTACAAGTACTTGTGTTTGTTGTTGTTGTTGTTGTTGTTGGATGACGGCCAGCATCTGTTGTTGCATCATTGAAAATTGTTGTTGCTGTTGTTGTTGTTGTTGGTAATCTTGTTGTTGCATGATTTGGCTGACCTGTGTATTATTGTTTTCTTGCATCAACTGCATTTGTTGCACAAACATCATTCTCTCTTCCCTTTGACTGACCCGCTCCTCTCTTCTTTTTTTTAATTCCTCTTCTTTCATTATTTTGTCCAATTCTGCCTTTTCCCGTAACCATTCAAATGTCTCTCCTGACTTTCTCCTCTTTTTCTCATTATCATCATTTCCATGCAGTTGTCGCTTTCTTGTTTCACCAATCCGTTCCATCGCTCTTTTCCTCATCTCCAATGCCTGACCTCTTTCCTTTTCCACAGTTGCTTTCTTCTGTATGTTATTTTCTTCTACTCTTCGTTCTGTCTCCTCATTCATCTCAGTCAGCTCCTCCAATAATGCATTTCCTTCTGTTAATTCCTCCCCACTTATCCCAGTCGCTCTCTCTTCTTCTGCCATTTTACTCTTATGCCTCCTCTCAAGCATTCTGTATCTGTCTCGCACAGCACGTGATGTGACCTCGACATTTGGGAAGTTGTTCCCTAAATTATTTGCCACAACAAGCCAACATGCTCCCCTCTCCCTCGACTTTGATTTATGCTGCAGGACACCCTCAGCAGCTATTTCCTTAAGCAGCAAGTGATCCTTGATGTCATTCAAGGTAAACACACGTCTAAAAAAATTATAAATAGAAAATGAAATCCAGGTCAATGCAGTTATTCAGGCATTTACAGTCACTAAAGTCTGATTAAATCAACACACCTCCATTTTAAAATTCTCAGAAGGATTATAGGGGTTGTGAGGATTTATGACCTAATACTATAGGCTATAATTTTATGTTTTAAAATAATCAGTTCAGTAAATATTTATAAAACTATAGTTGTACAGTATAAATATTAATGAGTTTTAATACACAAGTGTTGTAAACATTTAGACAACAATTTTAATTATTGCGTGGTTTATATTATTATAAAACTGTTGGCTTACTTTTTTTTCGAGCTGCTTTCTCCTTGATCCTCCATGTTGGCTTCAAGACTGTTTTACAATGTATAGCCTGTATACTGTAATATTTAAATAAACAGAATAAAAATTAAAGCGCTAGCTAAAATGATCAACTGCTCAGTGTTTATTTGTATTTTTGAGAGATGGTTTCCTGACAGAGTATTATGATATTCGGATACTGTATCACTGTATGAAACAATATAAACCTAAATATAAACACATCTCTTAAAAGTGTAAATAAACATTGAACTTTGAACTTCGGGTGAATATTTGTTTGATAAAATATGCAGTATAATTAATTATCATCTCTTCTTCCTTTCAGAAGAAAAAAACGTTTTATATATAACAAAACTGTTGTGTAAAAAACTTCACGCATAAACTTGTCACGGTTTTTTTATGCTACAACCTTCAATCTCGCAAAAATGTTGTAAACATCCAAAGAAAACACGTAAAATTTATCTGCAGCGACAAACCACAACACTGTCCATACACAGAATATATTTATTTCAATAAACCTACCTTTTATAGGGGGAAAACAAAACAAAAACAGTCGCGTCTTCGTGAGGACGTGAAAATCGTATTTTCACGTCGTGAAATCGTCTAAGACGACGTCGCAAACCAGAAGCTGACGTGAGTTGGCGCCAAATGACGACATCCACGTCGTCTTAGAGGTCGCGTCGTCTTTTCTAAATCTGTCTAGCGTAGTGTGTTTGGCGAGTTTCTGATCCTGACCTCTGGACAGGCGTTTCCTTGTCTTTCACCGTGGACGTTGCTGTTGCTACTGTTGGGTGATGAGCTGGTGGTACGCTTACCGGGTTTGGGTTATCAAGGGTTTCTTGGTGGCTCATATCGTCGTTGATAGCGTAATCATTCTTTGCTACTTCCACTGCTGATCTTCCTGGGTCTAATCTTAAGGCTACTCGGTTGCGTTTAAGCTTTTGTTGTCCTGTCTCTACAATATAAGACCGAGGTGATGAATGATGGTCGACCACATTTGCTTGTCTCCATAGCTTCGACCTTGGTTCTGGTCGGATTCTTACGTGTTCACCAGGTTTCTGTGGGGATAGTTTTTTGTCCAATGGCGGTTATGGTAGTAGGTTTGCTTTTCCTTTGGATGGCGCATTCGTCTCTTGATATCATTTGTGTTATATGCTTCGGGCTCTAACAAACTGCGTGCTATCGGGAGGTCAGTTCTCAGTCTTCTTCCCATACATTGCTGTGATGGTGACAGATCAATGCCTGCTAGTGGTGCTGCTCGATAGACCAACAGGGCTTTGTGCTTGTCATTGTTCTTTCTCCGCAATGATTTAACGATTTTTACCGCCGCCTCTGCTTCTCCGTTTGCTTTAGGGTGTTTTGGACTTATCAACATGTGTTGGAAGTTGTAGGCTTTCGTAAAATTCTTAAATTCTACGCTTGTATACTGTGTGCCACAGTCTGTCGTCAGCCTTTCTGGAATACCATGTCTCTCAAAGTGTCCTTTTAGGGCTTCGATGGTACTAAAAGCTGAGAGGTCGTTGAGTTCTGTGACTTCAATGTACTTGGAGTAGTAATCTACTGACAGTATATAGTTTTTGCTCTTGAACGTAAATATGTCAGATGCTGCTTCGGTCCATGGATAGTCTGGAGTCTTGCTCGGCATCATCGGTTCTTTCTGTTGCGCTGCTGCATAGTCATGACAAGTACTGCAGTCCTTTACTTTCACTTCGACTTGAGAACTCATGGCCGGCCAATACAACGCTTCTCCTGCTCTCGTGGACCAGCTCTGTCATTTCCTGTTGCATTGATGGTGGTACTACGATTCTCATTCCTCGGTAAATTACGTCGTCCAATATTGCTAATTATATCTAGGTCAAATACATCTAGATTCAAATACATCTAGATTTGTAAAGGAATATGATGTCTTTAATTTCATGCCAGTATGAAAGGATCAAAGAGGATTAGATTTATTGTTTTCAAGCGACCAACGCATGACAATTCATAGTCCTGAAGAAAAAACTTTGTTGCTCGGCGTTGAATTCTTTCGAGATGAAGCAGATCAGCAGACGCACCTTGAGGAGCCCGGAATTCGCAGCCGAACGATAAGTGAGAGCGGACCAGAGACAAATTCAGAAGGCGGCGGGCATCCACGTCAGTGAGGTGGAAACTATTGCGGCGCAGAAACCCAAGCATTCTGTTGGCTTTAGAAACGATGTTGATGATGTGTTTGGACCATTTATATTGTCGCTCACCAGGATACCCAAATCACTCTGTGTGGACGAAGACTTTATAATTTGCTGGTTTAGGAAGTAGTCTTGAGGTGGAACGCAGGTTTTCTTTTCGTGAAAATCTGAGGGAAACACACTTCTTCGCATTGAAATTTAAGTCCCACGTCTTAGAACATTGGTGTAGGGAATTTAGGTCATCCTGAAGAAGATCTCTATCTCGAGGTTGGGTTATTTGACCATAGCATTTGCTGTTATGAGCAAACATGGGCACTGTGCTATGATTTGCTGCCTTTGGGAGGTTATTTGCGTAAATCCAGAACAAAAGTGGGTTGAGTACCCTGCCTTTGTGCTACCCCTGATGTTACATTAAGAAACGAGGATGACACTCCGTCGACCACTACTAGCTGACGTCGTTCGCTCAAATAGTCGGAGAACCAGTTCAACAATGAGCCGGAGATACCATGTTGTTCAAGTTTCAAAAGAAGGTTTCGATGAGAAACAGAATCAAAGGCTTTGGAGAAGTCTAAGTAAAGCATGTCAGCTTCCTTTCCCGAGTCTAGGGCTTTACCAACGTCGTGGAAAACACGAAGAAGTTGGGTGACACACGAACGTCTTTTGCGGAAACCATGTTGCAGATTACTCAGTGATGATTCAACAAATTCCGACACGTGCAAATGCACAACTTGCTCGAGAAGTTTGGACACTAGTGACAGCAGGGAAATCGGCCGATAGTTACTGACCTCGTGAACATCGCCTTTCTTGGGAACAGGGACAACATTAGCTTCCTTCCATTCCTGTGGAACTTTACCAAGAGTGAGCGATTTGTTGAACAGCGCTGTTAAGGATGGAGCGATCTCGTTCGAACACTCTTTCAACAATCTGGCAGATATCTCATCGCGACCGGTTGCTTTACCAGTAGAGAGATTTGAAAGTAGACAGCTAGTTTCTTCCGTTGAAACCGAAATGGAATTAAGAGTGTCTTCATCACAGATACTAGAACCAACACTAGATGAACTAGGCGCAGAAGGATGAAAGGTGGATGCAAAGTAATTGTAGAAAGCATCAGCTTTACTTTCTGAGGTCGTGAACTGATCGTCGTTGAGGGTTAAGGTGTCTGGTAGAGAAGAACCGGTAGTTTTTGCCTTGAAGAATACCCAGACTTCTTTCGGTTTATTCTTAACTGAGTTTGCCAAAGTGGAAATGTATTCACGCTTCTTTGATCGTATCATGCTTTTTATTTTACGGCGTAATTCGCGAAGGCGATGGGAGAGAGAGAGTTGGTGGACTTTGCTCTTTTCCTGATCGTTTCTTTCATGTTGAGGGCATGGATAATATCTTTCGTAATGTAGGGAGGCTTATACGAAATTTTCACTTTGGCCTTAGGGATATGAGCGTCAACAGTGGAAAGGAAAAGGTCTTTCCATTTAGTCCATGCAAGTCAATATCAGCTTCACTTTCCACAAGAGCTAACAACGGAAGACATCTCGAAGTAGCACGGAGGGAATCAAAATCACCATTCTTGTAGTTATAGACCGTGCGTTTAACTGGTTTGCTCACTTTTCTAATCAGATTGATGTCTGAAGTGATAGCTTTGTGGTCAAACTTACAATACAAGTGGAATCGTCATCTGTCACAGTGATATTGTTAATTAGATACTCGTTCGTTGTCAGCAGTAAATCTAAAATATTTTGACCACGAGTTGGTGAGTTTACGAGTTGAAATAGTCCAGCTTCTTGTAATATGTCAGTAAAACCACGGTCGGTTGTTATGTCCGAAAAGCCTGAACCATCTAACCAATGAATAGAGAGATAATTAAAATCACCGAGAGTGATTATATCTTTGTATAGAGAGACGTCTGCACACTTGAGAAATCGACTAAATTCTTGAAGAAATTCAGGACCAGCGTTAGGAGGACGATAGCTTACATGCACCAAGAAGCTATTAGACAAAGATTTTATAACAATGCCAACAAGTCCCAAAGAAGAGGAGGTGAATTTAAATGGCTCGGTTTTAATCGAATCCTTGACAGCAAGTACAACACCACCACCACGTTTTCTCTCTCTATCCCGTCTTGAGATTTTGTACCCACTTGGTAACAGTTCATTGTTGGAAACAGAACTGTCGAGCCATGTCTCCATCGGCAATAACGTCAAATTGGTTGGTTGAAACAATGTCGTGGAAACTAGACAACTTATTTTCCTTTGTGTTGCGCGAATAGTAAGTAGCCTTCAGACTTCTGACGTTTTGGTAAAATACGCTGAAAGGTCGACATAAATTACTGATCCGAGTTACAGGCCCTGGATTCGTTGCAATATCACCACTCAGTAAAATGTATGTAGAAGATGCTTGTTCTTGCGGTTTATCCTGAATTCCATGACATGCACAAGTTTTGTCGGCATGTTGAACTTTATTTGTATCACATCACGTGTAGAAATCTAGATACAACATTGTTTGCTCGGCCAAATTGCAAGTTCGGAACTAATACAAACGTTTCCAGGCAGATTTCGTTTGTCTACTTGAACATACGAATTAGTTTTTGATTTAAGAGCCATGGAAGTGCAGATAAAAACCAAAATTGACCGAACAGCGACAGATTCAAACCAAATTTACCGCGAAAAAATATTGCTGCGAGAATGTTCCGATTACGAATGGTTAATTTCAATTTTGTTCCATTTTTTGCTGACGAACGCAAGCCCAACTGGCCCAACGGACGAGTGAAAAGCATAAACAAAAATCCAACGAAATAACGAAACATATCAACAAAATTCACTCACAAATTCACAACAGCGACAAAAGCTTATCAAATAATCTCGATAATAAACACTTTATACACCAAATTTCGAAATTTTTATGTATATAGCTAATGGCGGGAGTCCCCTAATTGTGGTGAAACCAGAGATGTTATTGAAGATATAAAACCAAAGTCAAAGGTCAGGAATTCGTTCATACGAGACAGAATATTAAATGAAACATCAAACGTACAAAAAACACACGACAAACTCCACCACGAAGAACAATAAGTAACTCAAAATGTTACGAATAACAGACAAACACGATTCCAGCGTAGAAACTTGACTTAGACGACGGTGGCCGGACATTTTGCCGAAAGACACTTTGCCATGAGCCATGACGAACGACGCTAGACGCTATTTATTCAGAAAATCCCAACGGTTAATTTTATAACTCAAATTATTTAAATTGAGTTTAACGTTAAAACACCAAAACTTAAGACAATAACAGAAACAAAACACCCAGTCCACAGAGAAAATTTGAAGCAAATCCAATAAGCAGAAAACGAGAAAAGACGAAGCCAAATTTCACTATTCGTAAGGATAGGACTGGAACACGATAAACAACTTCGGTAATGGAATCCAAAATATGTGCGACGATTTACAAACATACAGCACAAAATATAAATCCACTGAATCACTATAACTTTATGTTTAATCTCTTTATCGACATGACCTTATTATCGCAATGCTTGTAAGCAATGCGCTTTGCCGATTTAATATCTTCGGTTCATTGAATGCTATGAGGACAAAAATATCACCATTCGATTCAGTGTGACTAGATCTCCTCACTCGTAGCAATAGTTTTAGTCATTGGCAACATTATAGCGATTTATGAACTTTAAAAGTAAAGTGAGATCGAATGCGATCAAATTACGCATTTTACCAACAAATTATAAAAACATAAACATACCTTACGCCGAATATAACTTCGGCCCCTTGAGACGTATGCTCATTGCGAAATTCTTGATGAATTAATCATTTCAAATGCTATGCATAACGTTATTTCCAAGCTTCTATCCTTAAAGGGTGACTTTTAGTGCCGAATTTTACATTTTTGCTCCGAATTTGCGATAATCTCAACCGGAAATACGACGAAAACTCGTCAAAACAATGCCACGCTTATATCGCGTGACTCTGGAAATGCCAGAATCACCCATACGCACCCATACGCGTGAGTTTGACGTCATCCCGGCTAAAGGGAGCTCCTTATTGGTCAAGTATTACGTAATACAAGCGCGTGCGAGTAAAACCCGATACTTTAAAAATTCAAAATAAATATTTCTACTCGTCGTATTCATACGAGACTTTCTAATAGCCTTTCAGAAAATGACGAAAAGTTTAGAAGATATTCAACTTTTTCTCTTTTTATCGTTTGAATGTTTGGCGAAGCGGTGAGTATAACTGTATGATTGTTTCGGTTTGTATAATGTTCGACAGCACTTGACCCACCGTTCGAAAGGTTATTTTGTGAGGATTACAATGGTGGGTTTTGTTTTAAAAGGGGGGTAAATACTCGCCGCGATATTTACAAATTTGAAAAATTTAATTGTAATGTAGTGCAAAACTACTTGTCGACAAGGATTAATTTGAAACTGAGTTAGTATATCACTCCAACAAAAAATCAGATAGAACAAGATAAAAATTTGTAGACACTGAAGGACTACACACTTGACCTTCGAAAAGGTTCAGGTTTTTTTGTTTTTTTCAGTTTTTTTGCTTCTTCGGTGGGTGAAAAATTTACAGCAATATTAAGGCGTCTTTTAGAATTGTATATAATTAAGTATGGCGAGTGAATGAGTCTAATTGTTTGAATCATAAAAGTCTAAAGAGTTAGTAGTAAAAAATGTAAAAAATCTAAATCAGTCTAATTGTTTGAATTCTAAACGTATATACAGTTGGTGATAAAGATGTTAAAAATGTTAAAAATGTTCATAATTATGATCCCTGCAGCCATTGTCTGCTGTGTTTATTGGCCATCTTTTCCGCAAGAGGCGAGTTGGTCGTATTGAGAAAGACGTTAGTTGCACGCAGACCATTAGATATTAGTTTCAGAGATTTGCATGTACGGAGAAACGAAATATTGTTCATGTTGCAATGTGAATGGTGTTTTAAAAAACTAAACAATTATAATTATATATATATATATATATATATATATATATATATATATATATATATATATATATATATATATATATATATATATATATATATATATTTAATTATTTAAGTAAAGTACAAAACAAAACAAAACAAAACAAATATATTTAG